GTAAGTTAAGACACTTCTCTCTCAATCTAGTAAAGTCAGTGGTTGCTTCCCATTAGCCATCCTTCCAAATACCTACATTCAATATAGCATAATCAAAGTGTTAATCTACATTTTATATACATTTTAGCTACAAGATAGGGTTTTTTTAAAAAGGCTATTTAGCAAGCCATTGGTATTGTGACTTACACTGTGAATCTTTCAATCAAAAAGCTTAAAATTGCAATAGTATTTGAATAAGAATTTTCAGAGGAGCTCAGATATACTATAGGTAATGATTCTGATAATTAGGTATGTAAGGTATTTAACTTTTATCTCAAGAACACTTTATGAGTTCAACATATCCCTCATTCCCAGGTGCAAGAAGTGTAGTGTCAAATATCCTAACTATCTAAATACCAAATCTTACAATTAGTGATATTTCTTTGTAAATCCCCTATGGAATATACAAGGTACGAGGTGTTCCTAGCCAGTGATTGAGTCTGTATGCTATTTGACGATAACACTCATGCTCTATGTGCTGGTAAAACATTCCTGAGTACTTTTAGACACAGAATGTAGATGTAAAACCCCTTCGTTTAGTTCTATCTTGGTTCAAGTTTTAGGCCATTGTGTGCTGCAGGTGATGACAGCCTGGCTTAATTACATTCTGCAAAGCTTGCTCCTGCAAGAAGAGAGGAGAAGAAAGGCCTTTTTGCTGTGGTGAGCTCTTCCATCTGCTAGGTTGTTTTACATAACATCCTGCAGGGCTCAGGTTCCTGCACACTCATTTTTGGGAAAGTGTAGCCAGATTTCATTCTAACCAAGTTGAGGCCTCTTCAATGTACATGTCACAAAATGTAGTTCAGTCTAAGCTTTTATCTCTGAATGTGGAGTAACCATCTGGAATGAGATGTTATAAGGAGTGGAAAAAACAGGAGGGAAATGGTGCAAAACATGAGATACAAGAGGACATTTCTGAGACAGCCATTGTTTATTGTGGCAAACAGACTTCCCATTACATTAACCTAGCTAGAGGGCTGGGGTGAGACTGTTCATTCTTCTGTGCTTTGACTGTAGATAAGTCATCCATATACATCTCTCCAGTAATTTTCACAGGGTTGCTTGGTTGGCTTGTCTGCCCATACCTTAAATTTGAGCCTCATGCATGGAGGGAGGGTTGCATGCAGCAACCTGTGTTATCACTGGGTAGATGAGTTCATATAAACTCTCCTGGCTTCACTATCTGCCACATTACCATTCCCATTAAATAAAAAAGCAGGGTTGATTGGAGGGGCTTTTTATTAGGTTAGTTTTAATTTAAATCAGTTCTATCAGTTGGGTAGACACTTGGCCATATATATGCTTGTGCAAACACAAAGGAGACCTAGCTGTGTAAGAAACAGGATGACTGCAGGCAGAGTCTTTAAAGCCAATGATGCAGATACTGCTTGTTGATCCACCATCAGTGCAAGCATTTCTGCTTCCTGAAGCTCACTCTCAAAGCCTTTGGCCCAAACAGTTTCTCAAATAATGTAAAAGGGCATGCAAAAGACTTTCCAACAGTCCTATTAAAAGATGTATAAAGTGACCCATTCATCTTACTGAATAAGTGTGTTTTAGAGAAGAATGAAGCTTTTTAATGCAAGTCAGAGTGGTAATAGTTCCATTTATCTGCTACAACTGAAAAATCTCAGTATTGCCATTTGCAAACTGAGGAGGAGACAGATTTGCCCTCACGCTAATCTTAATGGCCGTCTGGCAGTAATGCAGATATTTGAGGAGGGAGAAGACCAAAAATCTGGTTTTTATAGGATTGATGCTCTTGCCATCATTACTTGGTTTTGATTTTTAAGCTGGAACGTTTTCATAATCTAATTTATATTAAGATTCCCAGGATCAGTTACATGGACATGTTGACTTGGTCTGGCCTTTCTGTTGAGGATCTATGTCTAAGAAAGGCTCTCCTCCCAAAGCACTGCAGTCCTGTGGTAGTTCCCTACACATAACCATTTAGCACATGTTAGATGGTGACCCACGTTCCATGTCACTGGTCCATAAGTGTGTCAGGACTAAATATTGTGTGACTGTAATAAATGTAAAGCTGTGATCACAGACAGAAGAGCCACAGCAAAAGCTTAAGTGAATATAAAGATACACTTGAAGGATGAGTTAGATTAACTAATACTATTTCTGAAGGGACAGTTTTGAGAAATCCTTTGGCCTAGCAACATTCTATTTAGCCCGTTGTCACTACCCTGGGGATGCTGTCCAAAGGAGACAGATCATAACTCTAGGCAACCATAATTCTAAACCTCAGCATTCCTGGTAATTTTGTCTCTAAGCAAAAAGTTATGTGGAATTGTAACTACAGCCACAGTGAAGAAAGGTTGTCTTGATATCACTTTATCTGTCTCAAATAAATTAGTTGTTATCTGTATAAATGGGAGTAGTGCACAAATATCAGATGATGCAAATGCTCCATCTTGCATCTGACATCTCTTCCTATCTTTGATCGACAATAAATGAACAGCAGGGCAGGAGACAGCTTTCTGACAAAACATTTACAACAAGCGAGCTATGCTTTGCAGTCAAAGCAGAATAGAAGAGGAATCCCACACAAAGGGAAGTCCACCTTCTTTGAACATTTGTTTTTCAGTTAAATCCTGCTCTCTGAAAAGTTTTCTGAGGGAAAAAAGCCCTTTACTCGGAAAGTAAACACATTTGTGTTCTTTTTTTCTGTCAGTTCTTGCTTCATGTCTACCACCTAGTGTTGACATGAACCATTTCCAAGTAGATGCAAGTGTGCTCTGCAATTTTCTGCTCTGACCTGCTAAGAATTCAGTGAGTTGTTTGCCTCAGTGCTTTTGTGTTGTTTTCACCTAAATAACAGCATTTAAAAACAGATATATATTCTTAAAAGGTCTGCTGATTTTAATGAATTAAAAGTCTTTATATTTTATCTTCTGGAAGGAGATAAGGGTTTGTTTGGGTCATTGTACTGAATGACAGCAAGATTTGGAATGATTTGCATCTTTGTGTATCATGTAGAATTTAAAGTGGAGTTTGTAGTCTCTAGCAGTGCTAAGTGCTTCCCTCAAGTTAGTGTTTCTTCTAAAAGGAGAGGCACACTGCAACAAAAATAACTTTTCAGCTGTTCAGAGTTAGTCTTGGAACATCTGGAAACTTTCTGAGCTACTTCAACTCACACAGAAAAACCATTTAGGGTCTTTTCTTACTAGATGGGCTAATCTTGTTTGAGGTTAGTGAGATGAACTGGTTTATAGGGCATCCAGCAAGAACTGGATTACCCAGAGTAGCATGGAGAAAGGGGAATCTTGTTGGAATGAGTTATCAAGTCAAGTTCAGCCTTGCATTCATGAAACAGAGAAGGTAGAGCAAAACATGTAAGTTACCCATATTACCCATTTTCAGTACAGTTACTGGAAATAATTGAAATCATAATTTAATTGAACTAAACTTTTAAATGTACTGGTGCAAATTATGGTTGGGTCACATGTTTTTTCGCTTCACATGTATAAGGAATAACCTGTGGTTTTAGTAGTGTGGGAATGGTGAGGTCTTCAGCTGACTCAGCATGTTCTATAGGGATACCTGACTGCTGTGATAGCAGGGGCAAACCTTGTCCTCCTTCAAAAGACAACACTTCTGAATGCAAGAATTACAATGCAAGTTCAAGGATGTACCTTTGAACCAACCCATTGTAAAGAGAGAGAGAAGAAAGATTTTTAAACCAATGATGATACTAGTATTGTTGGAAATTACAGTTTTAGTGACAGTACTGCAAACCAAAGAAAGTTTATACTGAGAAATCAGTATAAAATGAGAAAAGTGGTAGATAAGCCTACACTGAAAAAACTGTGTATCCATGTAGAAATTAACATTATCAAAAAACTATTATTTTCTAGGGATCTCTCTCCTGGCTTCTCAGAATTGTTTTAAAAATGCTAGTCAAATGGCCGATTAAATCCACCTTGGTGGAAAATATTTGCCTCCATAATGTCTCTCATAAAAGAATTGACTAGGCAATAATTAGGCATAGAGCAGGAAATAATGCATTATATCCAGTAATATTTTTATGTAAAATTTAATGAAGAGAGACTTGGATGGAATTTAGACCTCTGTGTGTAAATAAACCTGGTGGCTGTTGCTGCTGCAATAAGGACTTGACTGTTTGACTTGAGTTATGCCTTTGTATGTGCCCAGAACTGACCTGGCTTTGGCCGGGCTGTGTAGATCTCTGCCCAAACATGACTGAGATCCAGAAAGTTGTTTTGCTGGAATACACTGAAAGAAAAACCCTGCAAATGTAATACAGACCATAAAGTACTTACACAACCACAAAATGAAGTAGTGGCTAGTAGGATTTCGCAGAATGACAGTTATGATATGGCATTTGTCTCTTAGCATGTCATGCATATCATTGTTCCCTGCATTTTTTCTGTGTTTCCTGTGGGTTACTGGACATAACAGACCCCTTGCCAAGTAAATTGCCCAGTACCTTGACCCAGGGTAAATGCTGGTTACGGAATTAAGAGTTGTATTTTCCCCATCAGCCCTGCCTAACCAAAAAGTTCTCCTATGGCTTCTACTGTTTGGTTAATTGCAGAGGACTAACTTGTTAGGAAGACCATGGAGATGGCAATTGGAAATGAGGGGATGAAATTTCAACTGTACATGTTTTCTTTGATGAGTTAAAGTAGGCATCAGTTCTGTGTACTTTCTTTCAATTAAGCCTGTTCATTGTGACATGTCAGTGAACCAAGATATATAGGCAGAGGTCATATTTTTTATTTGGCTAACTGACATCACCACTAAAAGCTCATAGAAAAGGATTATGTTGGAAACTCACACCTTGCTTTAGTGTAAATGACTGAAGGTGACTATATTAAAAGGAAGCAAGCATGTACTTATCTGGGTAACCTACACTTAAGTATTTCATTTCATGCTACCTCACAGAATCTATTTGCATGTTAATTTCATAGAAAGTTCACAAAACCAACCTGTTGTATGGCTGATGGATCAGTATACACCTGTGTTCTGTTGAGGTCTTGCATTTCTTCCTGCTTACAAAGCCTTTCAAACAGTAACTTTTTGCCTTCTGTTACTGTGTGCACTCTCTCTGTTAATAGTTTTTGGAAGTGGAGTATGGTGTTTTCAGAAGCATTTTTCTTAAGTGGAACAGGTGACACCTCTGTGGACAAAAGCAAAGTACGTGGTTAGAGTGCACAACTCAATGAACTACTGACACTGAAGTTTAGCACATGCTGGATTTTCCTAAAGCTGTTCTTCTCATCTGCTTTTTGGCAGGCATTGCCTGGTGTTGTATAAGGGATCATTGTATAATGGAGAGTAGGAATGCAGCAGACCCTGTAAAAATCACTTATATCTCACACTTTCAGTTTTGCCTAGCTACAGCCCTCTCCAAGAGGTACTTACATAATAGGCAATAAATGAAAGTGTATTCAATCACACAGAATGATTAAATACAGAGTTAGTACAGTTTGTGGTGGTGAACTAAACAGGTTGAATTAAAAAACATAATGTTCAGATCATTTCTCATCATCTCTTTGTAGATATCATTTTAGTATTAAAAATAGTGGTGAGCTCCTTAAAACTAAGATTTTGTTCCTCATTGTTTGATTTTTATTTAGGGCCTGTCAATTTTGCAGGAAGAAAAATAAGCTGCTGCCTTCCCCATATCAGATCACATGCCACATATTTCTGTCCTTCTCATAATTTTTCTCTCTCCATGGTTCTCTATTCTTGTCTCTGACACAGCTGTCTTAACCTGTTTTCTTGTGTACAACACATTAGACATGTTTACAGACACAGTAGTGTACTATGAGGAAATCACATCCATGACTGCCTGTCCCTACTTTCCCTTAAGCAACATAATTGAGACCTCTTGTTTTTTAAATACTGTATTTTCTTTGCATATGATTCTTATAAATCAAGTAAGTTTTTCCTGATGTTTACCTCATTTATACCAGGGATGGGGACTGAAATAAATAAATAAATTGCAATTTTCCTTAGGCCTACATTTTTATCAGAACTCTTCTTTTGCCGATTGTTATGGCTGAGAGGAGAATGTTGGTTTGGAGCTTGGTGTTAAGTGCTAGGATTATGTTTTTTAACTATTTGAATACTGGATATAAGAATCTGTCATCCAATTCAACATCAGTGTAGAGATGCTTTTAAAAGTCAGGGCTCTTACCATCATTCCATGTTTTTCTCTTGGTACTCAAAGGTCCTATGTTTGCTGTAGCATCTCCCACTGAAACTTAGAAGAGAAGAACAAGGTGACTAAGCCTTTTGGCGAGATTGTCAAGGCACAGTCAGTCACATACCAAAAGGTTTTATATTACAAAAGCAAATACCCTAGGACAAGACACATTTATTTCACAGATGCCTCAAGCAGATTAATAATTGAAGTTTCTTTTCTGAAAGATTATTGTTTTACTGGCCACTGCATCAGCATTCACAGATTACACAGTCCTTTTCCAGCATGCTAACATGTAAATCAGCCAGGTTGGCTATTGGTGTTGACATATCCCATTCATGGAGAGTAGAAAGAAGCAGCAATATATTCGGTTTCTGTATTTGGAAGAAAATACATATATTGAGAATGTGATCTAGCACAAGACTGAGGCAGGGGAGAACTGTCATCCCACAGCTTTATGGCTGTCATTCTAGCTGCAACTAATGCACTACTGAGTGGTGCCCTTGGATACCACATTAGGGCTCTGATTCATGACAGACTGAGGACAGCTGGCTTGAGCCTGGTTCCAGCAGTTTCTGCTCAAGCCGTCTACCTGGCCTTTGCTGCAGAAATGGTTCAAGTCCCCAAATAACATTTGTGCTGTTGCAAACCATTTAACTTATTGAGAACAATCACAACTAGTTCTGCTTTACCTTAAGTCACTGAACCCTAAGTTGCAGAGTTTCAGTTATTCTGTGAGAGCACTTAATCTGCCTGGAGCAGGGGCAGGTGCCCCTGAGGTCTGAAGCAGTTGGCCAGTCACAAGAACCCTTACAGCAGACACAAAATTAGCTGTGTGGTTCCTAGATCAGAGGATTTTTGATACGAAGATAGAGGCAAACTCTGTTGTGAAAACTGAATCTGCTTTAGCAAAATTATTACAATTATTACAAGTGCTCAAATAATCACTGTCCTGGATTTTTCTCTCTCTCCACTGCAGTGTGTATTGAATTAATATACTTTGGGGTTTTTAGCATCCTTGAACTTGGCTTGATTGCTACTGATTTCTGCAGTTCCAAACAGTATGAGCTTGCATCTGTCTATCCATCAGACTTTAAGTGCCTGCTGTATGACCTCTAAAACCTGCCATGTGTTCTAGCACCATTTCACTCTACGTCACTTAGGCTTTCAAAAGCAGATTCTCCAATAACACTGAACACTTCAGTGCTTTCACTTTTTGCTAATATTCTCACTTCTACATGTCTCCATAGAGCACTTAAGTTTCCTGAGTGTTCACTATGTGACCATGCAGATAGAGCTTCCCCAGTTATTTTCCCCCTCCATTTCTGGCTACACATTTCGCACCTACAGCATGGCTCAAACAGGAGATTTCAGAAAGTTCACTTGAAGCACTTTATCTCATCACTGAAGTTTTTAGTACCTGATAGGAGACTTGAGCTTTCACATCCCCAGCCTGAGGTTCCCAGAGGCTGCCTTCTTAAAATACAGTCAACTTCATCATAAAATCTCATTTTTCTCCTGGGATTTCCAAGATGCTCATTTTCTTTCTGCAGTGCACGGTATTCATATTTTAGGTTCTTGTACTTTGTGCGACATTGTTTCCAGTCTCTGTCTATACCACGTTTCATTAATCTTCTGGCAATTTCCTCAAATATTTCTTTATTTCTTGTGGCCCCTTCAAGCATTTGTTGTATCTTTTCATCTGACCATATGTTTATCAGAGCCCTAACTTCATTATCACTCCAGTGTTTTCCTGCTCCAGTATCATTAACTGTAATAACTTTAAAGTGATTTTGTGCTTCTTCCAAGGGAATGTGATTGTCTGAAAATATAAATAAAAAAAACTTAACTGTAAATGCTATAATGCATGCTAAATATACATATATGAAAGCATAATTGCAACTGATAATCAGTTAATGATTAATATTTTATATATTTTAATCTTTTATATCTTTATATTTTTCATATTTTATAATTTTAATATCCATACACAATTCTTTTCTCTTAAGTATGCAAAATATGTAGCAATGGAATCTCTTGTTTCTCCAAGGCATCTAAAATTCAACATTTTGTCACTATAATTGTGCCATTGTTGTGAAATTAAAGACATATATCCAAGTGTTACATGTAGAAAAGCAGTAATCATGAAGCTTTGAAGATCTCAGCATTGGTGAGAAGTGTGGTTTCAAATTAAAATGGCAATGTGCAAATGAAAAGGCTGCTTGGGATTCAACAGAAGAAGAAAAATCTTCAGACTTGAAAATAATCAGAAGTTGGCAGATGGTGCTCATTAGATTATGTGTAGAAGGCAAAGTTGAACTACAGTATTAATACAAATTTTGCTCATTAAAGGAAAAGATCTATGAAACAAATTTTTAAGTTTACTAATAAAGCTAGAATGGAGTCAGAAGCAGAAAAGTAGAGCTGTGTTTACAGTAGAGATGTGATTGCTCCAGCTTTGGTACTGAAAATACAATGTGATTTATTTCATAATAAATGCATGAAAATTATTGCTCACCTGTCCCAACCATCTGTTTTGCTACTGGCGTACAAGATCTGTCTTCTGAGGTAGTGCTTATAGAATCATCATCTATAGAAACACACAGTTTTAAATAGACTTGGATTTAGACAAATAAAATGCTATTATTATTGTCATCCTCTGTAGGAAACACCTCTTTCCACCTTAAAGTGTCCTAATCCCTCGGTCTAACCCATTAGTTACAGACTTGAAGAATCACAGAATCATGGAATCATTTAGGATGGAAGCACTAATCATTTAGGATGGAGTTAACATTGCCAAGTCCACCAGTAAATCACGTCCTAAGTGCCACATCTACATGTCATTTAAATCCCTCCAGGGACAGTGACTCCACCACTGCTCCAGTCCAAGGTGACAGTTCTGCTGAGCTCCCTCCTTACTTCACCAAGAACTGAAAACACTGCCATTTTGTGACTGCTATTGCCAAGAGGCTCCAGCCACCCCCAGTCCTCTGTTCACAAACATCAGGTCCAGTGAGTACCCCCCCTAGCTGGCTCCTTCACCAGCTGTGTAAGGCAGTTGTCAGCCACACACTCCAGGAACCTTCCTAGGCTGTGTCCTCTGCTGTGTTGTATTTCCAGCAGACTTCTGGTCAGATGAAGTCCCCCCCAGGGGCCGGTGACTGGGAGACTTCTCCCAGTGTTTATGAAATATTTCAGCTGCCTCTTTGCCCAGGGTGGGTGGTCAAACACAGACTCCCACCAGGATACCTGCCTTGTTACCTTCTCCTGATTCTTACCCATACGTCCTCAACCCTATTTGTCACCATCATGAGCTCTAGACAATCAAAACACTCTCTAACCTACAGAGTACCCCACAGTCTCTCCTTTCTTGCCTCTCCCTTCTGCAATTTATAGCCATCCATTGCAGCACTCCAGCTGTGCAAGTCATCCCTCTGTGTCTTCAAGATGGAAACTGATACAGCTTTCCTGCTACACAATGGCTTCCAGCTTGTCCTGTTTGTTGCCCATGCTGTCTGCACTGGTGTGGATGAACCACAGCTGGGCTTTTGTCCCCACCATCTTTTGGGGGTGAAAAGCTCTAATTTCTACATGGTTATTCTCGGGTGCTCCTGTGGTTTCTAACACATCAATAATCCCTGTATGTCTTTGCTGATCTCCATTCCCTGTCTACTAAGATAGCAGATCAAAGGACCTCTCTAGAACACCACCCCTCCCACCCATCAAACAATGGCATGTTGCCCCCAGGCTCTCTAGTTAAAGTCTGGTGTTATCTCTTCCCACCTGCAAATTTAATTTAAAGCTCTTTCAATGAGTTCTGCTAACTTCTGTGTTAAGATCCTTTTCCTCCCTTTGAGATAGGTGCCAACAAGTCTGGTATCTGGAACCATGACTGAAAATTCCAGTATTTTCCCAGTGTCAACAAGCTTGGAGACAGATAGTGATCTGCTGGTTCTTCCTGTTTTTTTCCCAATTCATTCATTGCAGCTGGAAGAAGAGAAGGCTACTTGTGCTCTCGATCCTTCAACCACTTGTTCCAATGCCCTGAAGTCTCTTTTTATTTGCAACTTCATTGTTGCCTACTGAGAAATTATTGAAATTGTCTATGAACATCAAAACCCTGCTTTGCTGATTCTGTGTTCATTTGCTCATGCTTGAACTCTTCTGAGGCTGAAAGTTCACTTTTGTGTGGACTTACATTTCGCGTTGGGAGGAAGAGAAAGATTAGTTCTGATTGTTTGCTAGGGGATGTCATAGACTAATTATGCTCAATACCAGTTTTAGTAAAGAGTAGAAATAAATGTTTCTTTTATGTTTTGAACAGCTGAGTGCTTACTTAGGCTCTGTCAGAAATAAAGATTAATTGTAAATAAGCATGTTCATTTGATGTGCTTTCTGTAATGGTAGTTGCCAATATATGCACAAACTAGTACTTGGAATTCATATTTGCTCTATAACTTGTTTTCTCTTCAGTCATTTGGCAAACACTTCAAGCTGTGTGCAAGCCTATATTTTGTACCTGTGGAAAACTTGAAAATCATACTCTCATCAGCATGTGTATGTGATTTACTTGGGATACTAGAGAAAAAGTGGGTTTTCTCATAAACAGGCACCCTATAACTTTTGAGAAAACTCTTGCATCTTCCTTAACACTTGCAGCTGTTGGAAATGGGCTAAAACAGAGCTGTGGGTCTACTCGTAGGCTCCTGAGAGATTCCTTTTTTTCAAAGCCTTAACCAACCTCCCCGTGGCTTCCATTTCTGTGCTCATTCTCTCAACCATACTAGCTCTCTGGTTTCTTCCTGTCTTTGGCAGTGGCACTGGTGTAGTGCTGACTGCATGATCACTGTGTTCAGTTGGATATTACATGATAGGGAGTTCTGTGTATGAGGCAATCAGTTGAGCTGCATGACATTTTATTCTTCACTCTGCATTCATGTGACCTTGCTGTGTCTCAACTTTCAGGGTCACAGATTTACTTTATCCTCAGTGTCACTTGTGTTCCTGTGTGTCATTGTTATGATGGCATTGCTCTGATGTTGTCCTCAGTGTCACAGTCACTGCAGTTGTCTTTCACGATCAAGATCAGCCAATGCAAACAGTTGTAAAGGGTGTCTAACATAGGATGTCTCAACATCCAAACTACAGATAACATAATTGTTGAAAAGGAAGCTCTTGCCTGGAATATGCCTGATGTATACAATAGAAATATTCTTAAGGTAGAAACTTTCAGTGTCAAAGGCCAAAGAATTGCTGTTCACACAATCACTAAAATTGGGGGTTTTTCTATTAACTTCTGCATACAAACAGCATTACTGTAATGAATATTTTGATCCAGGGTGTCAGGCCACTCTATTTCAATGCTATCTTTATTTCCTCTGATGTCTTTTTTTCATTATCATCTATGGTCTTATGCTCATTTATTCCAGAATATTAGTATCCCTACTGTGTTCTAATGTTAAATTTTAACATTTTAAACAAATCTTCTCCTGATCACTTATCATTGAATATATGACTTCTACATATTGCTGAGGTGCTGATTTCAGTTTTATATTTAAAATAGTTCAGAATATATATATGGAAATTGCTTGCTAGTAAATCATCTGGTACTAAATGCAGTCATTAAGTAGTTTGAAAATACAGACAATGTATAAAATGTTCTGAGTTTCTGAATTTACCTTTCCATTTATCCTCTCTAGCAACTGTGTAAGAGAAACCATAGTTGTGTCACAATCAATTGCAGACTAATCATATTCATCATAAAAAGGAGCATGTTGTCTGGGAAAGTAAGATTCTGTTATAATTATGGGAAGGAGAAATAAGTGTTCATACATTTCTGCACTATGAAATCAAACAAAACCCATAATTTATCATAACCTAGAGGTAGAACAAGTGTAATTTGCTGGAATAACATATGAACCTTTGGAATCTGCAATGCCAGTAGAGTAGAATGTCCTGTTAAAACTATCATGACAAAGTCCTGACCTACCTATATAAATTGTCTCCTTCTTTATTTGTGTAGCTTCCAGAGCTGCTGGGGTGGAGTTGGTTAAGTCCCCCTCATCTTCAAAGATTTCTGTAAAAAATAATCATTTACAAAGTTCTTATTAATTAAACACGTCTTGAGTGATGTCTTGAGAATCAACTACTCAGAATGCTGCTGATAACTTCTGTTAAAGATTTCCTTTCTTAATACATTAAAGCTACCATTTATCTGCTGTAATAGGCTTAAGAACAGAGTGTTCCTGCTTATAAAGTAAGTCCAGAACATCACATAACAGCTGCAGTAGATAAGTTTATGGGTTACGTGTGCAAACTCTTAAGTTATTTTAACCTGGATCAGGATTTGTAGAATGGTTCACTGATGGTGGGTGTAAGATATCTAGTTACTGATAAATGTTCCTGCAGCAGAACAGGCAAGACAGTGACTTGCCTGTTGGGTGCAATATTTACTGAAATTATTGAAAGACTCCCAAGTGACTGATGCAAAGAGTGTTTGAATTAGCCCCAAAAAGGAGCAAGGGACCCTGACACATCAGGGTGCTGTGCTTAGACAATTGATCTGTAAGGCTGTTTGTGTGATGGAGGCAATGTACTAAAGCCTGTCCTGAGAGCATCGCTGCTGCTGCAGCTTGCAGGGGTTTACATCACACAGCTGGCCTCCCCTCCATGGGGAGGAGATCTCCACTCCTCTGCCATTGGCCCACTGGTGTTAAGGGAAAATTCCACCCCTCTGCCCTAGGACAGAGGTATGGGCAGGTGGATGATGCAACTGGTCTTGCTGATCCTCCCTTCCCAGTGAGGACACTGCTCTACAGAGATTAAACGGTGAAGGCCACATCGTGGATCAATGACAGCAAATTTCTGGCTCCCAGCCTGTTCTCAGTCCAGTCAAGAATATTGCCCCTAAACATTGAGCAATAAAGTTTAATCTAGAGCCATTTTATTAAAAATTACCCCCAGATCAATACAGCTTTGTTTGCATCAGATGTTCTTTATGATGAGACTAGCATCATGTGGTGGGTTTTTTTGGTGGTTTTTTTGGGGTTTTTTTTTTTTTTTTTGTGAGCCAAGAATGTGGGTAGGGAGCCTGGCTTTTTTTCTAAAGCACCTTTCAGAGTTTTGGAGGGAGGGCACAAAAAGAGTAAGACTGAGCCAAACAGAACAAGCCATCAACAGTTTTTGGCATGGATAAAACACAGTGGCTCCAGCTGAATTGTTAGTGAAGCTATAGACAGTTGCCAGCAAATATGCTTAATCTCTACTTTGTGTTTAAGCACTGCTCACAAGGCCACCCGAGCAATGCTGTCACAGTCTTTCCTTTCACCCACTCAGACTGATACAAGCTCTGTTCTCTTTTGGCACTCTGTCAGCATCACTAATTATCTTGTTTTCTGGCTCATGAGGCAAGATTAGTAATTTGTCTCCTAATCCTTACTCTCATGTGTGTCTTGAATAATTTAAAAGGGAATTGGGATATGTTAAAACTAGGGAAAATTTTTAGTGTGTGGCTTATGTTTACACTCCCGCAACTTGCAAAGTTGCTGCTGTGTCATACAGATCTATGAGAGTGGATGCAGAAAACTGTGGATACACAGTTAAGAGTTTATGTCTGCAGCCCAAATATGCCTAGGCTAAGGCAGTGAATAATCAAGAACTTTAGGGTTTGCACTTCTCTGGAACAATGCCTAACACTAGCCTGGGGCACATGTATGTAAACATTATCTTTTGACTTTATATCTGTACATTTTAAAATTCCTTGCACACAGCAGCAAGTGTTCAAGCCAATGTTAAGTGCCTGAGTATGTACCAACTTAAAATCTTAACTTTAAACAACAGGTTTTTAAAAAACCCTTGCTTAGGAATGTATCTTGGAAGTGTCACTACATCAAATTTGTTCTGAGAGGGACATATAGTAAAGTGTAGGGGGTATCAAAAATCCTAAGAAAATAAAGACAAGGAAAGGAATTTGTTTGACATAAAAAACTTGTAGGTATTTTTAAGAACAGCAGGCTACTGGTATTTCTTAGAAACCTGTTTTCATCTCCACTGTTGTTCCCTAGCACTTCAAATTTAATCAAACCTATACATACACTCTGTGGTCAGGCTAAGTCTGACGCACGTGGAATGTACATGGAGTTTGGATTGACAAGACTGTATAGATGGAAGTGATTGGCTGTTCTGAACAGATTTGTTACTTTTAGTAACAACTAAAAGTGATTCCACGAAACTGAAAACATCAGTGAAAATTACTAAATAAGGTTTTATTTGCAGATCGATTCAATGTGGGGTATGTTTTACCAGAAGCGAGAGCAATCTGCAGTGTCCCTAGCCTATCATGCTTTAGCTGAAAACCCAGGGCTGGAGACTGTTGTGGTCCTTCTGCCCCCCCAGCTGGGCAGTGCTGACAGCGCGTCAGGAACCAGGACAGGCTGTGCAAGGAGCTGGGAGAGTTTATTTACATTTATGGGCATTCTCAGGTGCGCATTTGCTGCTCTTTGAGTAACAAATTCATATGGGCAGAGGAGAAAAACAATACCATGGCACATCAAATAACTAATTACTCTCCTTAAATTGGTGCATTTTTCTTTTGACTAACACCACCTTAGTATTTTTCTTACCAGAGTATGGCAAACCCAAATGGGCTGTTTATAAACACTGGCAGTGGTGACAGTGTTACTGTGGCTCCTAACTCAGATTCACCTGTAAGATCATGAGAAGCACATGCACTCTGAAGCAGCTCCTGCATCTTCTGTGCATTTACACAGCTGCAGTTGCCAGAAGGCAATGCCTGCCCAGGCTAACTGATATATATGTGTATGTGTAGGGGCAAGTGCATATACAGCTCTGGCTGCAGAGTACATTAACTGATAAGGAAGATACGCAGATATGAGTTTAACAGAATTTCTGAGTTCTCATTTGTGCCAAATTGAGGTTTTCTACAATTTTTTTTTTCAAGGCACACAAATACCTATAAATTCAATAATTCCATGCCTGTTGGGAAACACTTTTCTACAAAAGTTCTGTTGAATATGCAGAAGCTTTTTTAAAAAGTGACATCCTAAATGCCAGTGATTGTGAGACATTACTCATATCAAACAACCAATGTAATGTATCGGTGCCTTTTCACTGTTTATCAGTGTGTATATTTATGAGTACAGAGCTACATACAATCTCTTTACTTACCCGTTTCTCATTTCAAAATTACTTGGACTGTCTAGGAAAGGCATGTACCATTAGTGAACAAAGAGTCTCCATGATGTTGTAGCATAAAAAATGTGCATCTTTTCTCTGTTTCATGCAATACCTATTTATGTGACCATTAATAAAATTAAAGACTAGGTGTATTTTACCATCTGCAAAAAAATTATTTGAGTGTATATTGTTTGTTTTGGAATGAGGGAAAGAATTTTGCAAACTGAACTCTTTTGTTGGTTTTGCCTTGGAGTGTGGTTTTGCATTCCCCCACAGAAGTTTGGAAAATAGTCTTAAGAGTGGAAATGCTGAGCCACAGGCACTTTTGAACCACTTGCTATTTTAATTTTCCCCCACAAAATCATACTTCATTTACAATTACCCAGAAACAAAGAAACTATGAAATTAAAATACACATGTTTAAAAAGGGAGATGGTAACCAAGGTAAACTACAGATATCTTTACACCTACACTTATCTTAAATGACAGAAATTTGTACTCAGGATTTTACTATAAATATTTATTTAACTTCATTTTAAATAGCTTGTTTGGAAGAGTGCAGTCCAACTTATAATTTTACGTAGCACCAATAAGTTGAAAACTGCCAGACAACAGTTAAGGAGCACTGCTGAATCATTGCATTATTACAGTGTCTTCCTACTGTCCATGTGTGTGTAGTAATTGTACTTGTCAATGGGTAGAAATTGAATTAAATATATTTTTAAGCAGTCTTAACTGGATCCCACAAAATGCTGTTTATTTCTTTCATATTTGTCTCTCTGAAAATGAGGTCCCTATAGGCAATGTACTTTTCATGACAACCTCTTTTTCTCCGTGGAATGCATCAAGTGCCCATGGTGAGCTGGTAAAAGGTTGCTTATTTGTAAGTAAATTTAAATTTAATAATGTAATTGCTATTGAGTGAAAAAAGCCAAAAATGTTAATCTCTGGTATACCTTAAATTACAATCATCTCTTTACTTACTTGTCATATTAGTTTCTTTGGTTATATGCAGAGCTGCCCGACTCTCTGGAGTAGTGTTTACAGTAACATCATCTGTCAGAAGATTTTTAATTTGATATTAAAATCTTTCAAGCTTACATTAGACCATTTAAAATTCTGTAAGACTACTCCTTAATGCTTAATTTAGACCATGTTCTGCCTCACAGTACTGAAAGAGAACATGAGGTGCTCTGTTGTGGAAGATAAAACTTGTCGGCCTGATAGACTTTCATGTGTCTCCAGCTGAATGTTAAACTTCTGCTTCCCCTGAAATTTGTTTTCAGATGTAAACCACAATATTTCTTTGTAAAGAGCAGAGCATATGACCTTGATATTCAGTGAGACTCCTTAATGAAGTTTTCATCCCCTGACATGAGCATTTACACAATTATATCCTGAGCACGTATTGTGAAAAAGAGATGCTGTATTAGTTCATGCCCAGGAGACTGAAAAATTCTAATCCTTGGGAATAACATAGTTTAAGTAAATGTACTGTAATGCAGTAGGACATTGTACTCAACTTGCTTAAACTTGTTTCTTCTCTACATTCTGCATCACAAGTCTCTGAAATGATTACTTACAGGACTGATTTTATCAAATTTAGCAGGCCATTGTAGATGTGTGCGCAAGTACATGATGGTTATCTCTATGACATTATCTCTTGCTTTTAAGTTTTTTAGGTCTCTGAATTTTCTACCAGTAATTACAATTTGGGCTTATTTTAGGAATTAATTTTAATTTACTAAATTTAGGTATTTATATAAAATAGAAGACTTTTTAGATTACCTGAATCAGAAACTTTCTTTATATCTGCAACCTGTAGGTCTTCTGACGTATTACTAACAGAGTCCTCTTCACCTGTGTCTGCAGGCATTTCTGTGTAAATAATGCTAAATTAATTATGGCACTGAATTTCTATACTTTATAAGAACACCTGTGGTATATCAAATTAAAAAGTCCATCCTGCCTCGGATGCTCTTTACTTCAGCAGGCAAAGTAGATGCATTAGCAAAACTTGTAGAAATGGCAACTGAAGAGTGAATCTTCCCCCAAAATGTTCTCACAGTTTTCAGCCAGACTGTCTGTGTGTAATATTTTTCTTGACTTCTCCCATTACTTTACTAACTTCTAGTCTTACATTTGGCCAACATAGTATCATCCCCTCATCTCAACTAAAAGTTTAATGTTTAATTCTGTTCTTAAACAACAAGCATGTTTCTGGTTGTACATACCAATAAAAGTGTTTTAACTTTTGGGTAGTGTAGGTTCATCAATCTACTCTTAATTCTGTACTGATCATCCATTACCATTGTCAATAACCACCCAAAACCAAAGACAGGCTCTGTCAGCATTCTTAGTGCCGTTCCTTTTGCTATTTTCACTATTGTCTCACCAGTTTGGGAGTCTTGCTCCAAAGCCCAATCAAACTGAGCTATTTGAGACCATAAGAAAAAGACAATTTAGATGTTAATTTTTTTAACCAGTGTCTATTACTACAGATTTCTTTTGCTCAATGTCTTAATTTTTCCAGTAACATAGTCTGACTATCTCTCTGATCCATTTCTGTTATCTAAACTGGAAACAGTGTCTTCTGACATGACTGACTGGAATTGTCTCTCTGTGTCATTTTATCCTATGTCTTAATCTTTTTTCCCCTCCTTTTGCTTCTCAGTTCTATTAAAAAAGTACAGGGAAATCATTCAATCTGAAATATTACCTTATAACAAAAGACAAAACTACTGGACAAAATAGTAAATTTCTATTTAGTGTTTTTCCACACCAGCCAATTGGTTAATCTCTCTTTGTGCTTTTTGAGTTTTTTTTTAAGATCTCTCTAGTGCTGGAAAATTAAAAATGTTAAATGATATGTGGGTAGTTGAAGTACTTACCTACGGAATCCTTTTCTGATTTTGCTTCTGTCCATTCTGGAGGCCTCTCACTTTCATCATTATCTGATTTACTTGCTTGTTCCATTGTGCAGTGCCCCAGAATAGCATCCAGTTCATTAAAAAATTTCATACTTTTACTCGTACTCCCTGAGTCTTGGGCACTTTTTACACTCTTGTATTCATGTTTCAGATTTTTGTATTTTGTCCTGCACTGCTTCCAGTCCCTGTCAATTCCAAACTTTTGCAGTCTAGCAGCAACCTGCTCAAATATTCTTTTATTCCTCACTGTCCCCTCCAGTTGTTGCTGGATATTTTTGTCTGACCATATGCGTATCAAAGCTCTGACTTCATTAACAGTCCAGTGTTTTCCTCCTTCATTTGCCACTGTAGGAATGAAAGCCGCTGCTTTGGAAGCCTCTACTGCTGACGCTGGATTACCTGCATTGTGTGAGGGAGGGGAGATACAGACATTTGTTACCTGCATTGGGTGGCTGGGGTGGGGAAAGGACAGAGAGAATGGGAGTGAAGGATGCTGTTTAAGGACAGAGCAGAGGTGACATTAAAATCAAGCTATTGGTTATTAATTTGTCAGCATTTTTGTTAATTCTGATATAATTTTTGCTTTCACTTGAAGACAGATACTAAGATAACACATGTACATTTAATTAATCTAAGAGGAACATTTCTTTCTTCTGTGTCCGGATACACTAAATTTTTACCTGTAAGACCTTTGGGAACATCTGATGATCTGCTTTGTCCTTCAGACATTAGAGAGGAGAAGAGAACTGTTGGGAAGATGGGATGTGCTGCATGAGCACAATAACAAATTGGCCCCAAGTCACTGACACTAGCATCCAGACTTAACACTCTGCATTCATGCCATACCTTAGTTTTTACACACGTGGACAGATTTAACCTGGGTAAGGATCTAAAGAATCTGATCCTTCTTTCTTAAGGAAGCACGCGAGTTGTGGAAAGCAGAGGAATGGAGACTTTTGCTTAAGTAAAACATTTGTGGGCTAGAACCCAGTTCTCATGGCACAGAACCTGCACCTTTCTCAGGGCAGATCAATCAAAAATATTTGATTTTTTTTAGTAAAAATCAGTGTGAGTTGTCTTACTCTGCATAACTAAGATATTTTTCCATTTTCTCCAGTCTACTTTATTTTTTAACATTATGAGGCCACCCATGCAATAACTTCAAACACTGAAATATTATATAGTTTAGTTTTTTAATGTTTCCTTGTTTCTATTTAGGAATTTTCTTTAAGACTTTGTTTTGGTTATAAGATTAGTTTGGAAAGGGTTTTCTCATGCATTTTCTAAAGCTTTGAAAAAATAACTAAAAAACCCCAAATAAACAAACCCAAAACTATTTCCAGGTCGTGATCACATGAAGCAGCATGAAAATGCACAGTAACTGACAGGTTTTTACAGTCATACTGCAGTGATGCCTTTGTCAGTGTCCTTTTCTGGAAGAGCAAACCAGATGATGGGGGTTTGATACTTCATAGCCACTGAGATGTGTGTGATGGCAATAGCATCGGACCCTTGATTGTGCACAGAGCTTCAGGGCAGCACATTTATAACAACCTGTCTGGGGACAAACTTGTCCTAGATAAAGCCATTCCTTGCTAGTCTCCATAATTCATTCTAGTTGTCAATAAGTTGTAACAGATATATTTGTTTTTCCTTATAGTCCTGGGTTAATCAGGACTCTGCAGCAGCCAGCTCATAGGCAGTGTAGTTGAGAAGGGTAATTTTCAGGTGGCACATCAATTATGCTTTCTCCATTTCTTGCTGAGGGAGTGAAATAAAATGCTGACTTACTGGTGAATCAAACCATAGGAACTGCCACAGATGGTAACTGCTGACATCAGATAGGCCAGAGAGGAAGGGCCTAGGGAAGATGACAAGAAGAGAGGAAGAAGAGTGCAAGGAGGTGCTCTCTACACTTCCCAGTCAAAGCCATAGAACACGGGGGCATCTGGGAGGAATAAAGGTTCTTTACTCTTTGTATAGGCCAGTATTTCTCACTAGTCATTTCCAACTAAGCTCACTTTTGGTTGTGGATATTAGTTCAAATGAGTTCTGGTAACTTGGTGTATTGCTCGCTTATTCTGTTGTGTGCAAAGTGAGAAATGGTGTGTTGTTTGTTTCTCATTCAATTTAAAAAACATTTTGATTCAGAATATCCTGCCTACAAGAACTGCTTTGAAACAAAGTTGTTATGGGCAGTGCAGAAATTTTCCTAATATCTTAAAAGCATTTTAATTTGTTTTTTAAAAAAATGTTTAAGCAGGATATACATTATTTTTTTATCTGAAAGATGCATTTATTCCATATTTAATCTTCTTCAAAACTTCTCAAACCTGAGAAATCTGCTAAAATAAAACTAAAATGTTAGGCATTACAGATACAAAGGGGTCAACATTTTTCTTTCAGTGGTTTCTGAGATAGTGCCTGAATCTTACAGACTAGAAGAAGTACTGGGGGAGGGCATTTTAGTACTAGTACATACTTGAGAGCCCATGCAATTGAAGTTATTTTGCTGACTTTGTGAAAGCAGCTTGAAGATTTTTCTGCTTGGCTGTGTGCTGAGCACTGAGAAATAAAAACATGTTCCTGTAAAATTTGATCCAGACACTTTCTGCATGTTTTGTTCATATGCATGAAGTATTTTATATGTGCATAAATTCCATGTGACATTCAGGTCTCTTCCTTAATTTCTTTCTGTGCCAGGCAGGAGGAGTGTAATGTGTAACATTATAGCCACAGGCTTAGCCTGTGCCTTGTTTTCTTCCTAAAAATGGGATGTTGCAGATTTTGTAATGGAAATTGTTGTAACTGGGCTGGAATGTATACTAAGGCATAGAGGGTATATAATAAATAGAAAGAGCATGTAGGAAATTCAGGACAGCTGCTGTTCATCCAGGCAACGTATCAGCACATCAGTTGCTTAAATCTGCCTAAAATGTGTTTGTTTCTCCATTTCCTGTAGCTTCCCCTTGAAGGGGCTCACACCTAGGATGCTCTTCCTCTTTCTGTCTTGCCATATTTATGCCCTTGCTTTTGTAACTTTGCTGAGCAAAACTACTAGAGTAGGACGTTTTCTAAATGAGTTCTGTGGTTGGACTAAGCATTGCTGACCACTCCTTGCTTGGAGAGGTGATTTTGAAGTTATGCTGGAGACCACTGCAAGTCTGGATTGCTCTGCATCTCTCTCCGGGCTCAGACCACTCACCCATGCTGCTTTAAGTATCCATGGTTTAAGAAAATGAGCTAGGGAAAAGCCACAAGCTGACATGGATACCTCTCTAGCATTTGCCATACTTTCCACTGGCATCTAACAAAATTACTGATGTTAATGCAGTTTATCATGATTAAGCTATAGCATGGGATGTGTTTTGCATGCAAGTGTGGTCATGCAGGTGTTACATCATACACAGTGGTCAGTGTCTGGTGATGCACAACACTGCTGAGTGCTCTGGCAAGGGGAGGGTGCCAGAGTGTGGCTGCATTAAAGCTATACAGGTCAGAAACACAATGACAGTGCTTTCAAGCTATCAGGAACTGCTCTGACACCCATGCTGCTTTTTAGTTTTTGATCTCTCTGTATCATCATACTATACCTAGTTGAACTGGTCTGGCATGAGATATAAAAAGTAGTGGATCTCCTGGAGCATCCTCATCATCTTCTAAAGAAACTGGTATTTCACCTGGGAAGGAAAGAGTTTTTAGATGAAAAATAGGTATGGACTAAATTAGAAGTTTAAATTTAAATGTCCATACACTATGAGAAGATCTTTAACTTGGAAATCTCAACACTTAATTTGTAGTTAAATTAAATTTTAAATTAATTTAGCTGTCCCTATGAGTTATAGGAGTCAAATCATTTTATGTCTTATATATGAAGTCTGTTTGAAATGTTTTTAAAAATTCTGGTTGAAACTGACTTGATTCTAGTGACTTGTATGCTCTTCTGACTCAGTATTCAGGGTAAATAATAATGTAAAGTAAGAGACATACAAATAAAGGCAGACTTTGCACACAGATTCATAAAATTACAAATCCATTTATGTAACAAAATTAAAGTCCTAGAAGAGTGTGAAGAAAGGATGTTCTGCAAAGAGCTCTGGAAATCAATGGAATTCATTAAGAGTATGGGGAAGGAACCGATATTCATTGTGACTTGACAGCAGGCATATTTGTAGCTGACAGGATTAAGTCTAGCCTTTTCCAGCGTAGCTTTTCTACATTTGTTTAAAAGGGAACATTATAGCAATTGCTATGTAAGTATAAAAAGCAGCATATGTGCGTCAGGTTCAGAACCAGCTAGATTTTCACAGAGTACAGACTTTTAAGTTGTCCTGTGTGCTGTTTTCTACATACCACGTTGACAGGAGGTTTGAAATGTTCCTTCCTTGTACGGGAGCTGAGCTTCTGTGAGCTCCAGCCAGGCAGGGCACCCAGATCAAAGCTCGCAGCTCTGTGGTAGATCGTCACGGGGAGCAGTGATGAGGTGTGGTTAGGATGCAATCTCCTACCCTGACGTCGCAAAATGCGTTTGAAACCATTATCCTAAACGCTCCTGACTTTCAGCAAGGCTCGCTGTGACTCACAGATGAGTGGCCTGATCTCTGACTGCTCCCAGCTGCCTGCCTGCCTTCCCTGGCAGCAGGTGCTGCTCATGCCCACAGCGACAGGACTGGCATTTCAGCTCTTAAGAGCAGCAAAGCAAACCAGGGAGAGGAGAATAAATTCCCTCCTGGAAGGCTTCTGAGTGTGCCATAGGCACCAGCATGCGCAAGGTTAATTACATTGTTACATTAAAAGAGAAACTTCTTTTTTTTTTAGTAAGAACACTTACCACAAAAAGATATTACTATACCACAAAAGCTACTCAAAAAAAATTATTGCACACTTGTTTAAAAAAAACTATATAAAATACTGTCAATGACATGTTAAAAAGTGCAGACATGGAAAGCCATGTATAAGTGGCACTTTTATGTCAGCATTTCTGAAAGATCTTCCTGCATTTTAGTAGCTGAGTTTCCTGCCAGTCATTGCTGATGCATTTCTGCTCAGCTATAATCTTTCTGCATTTGCTGAGGTAAAGTGAAGGTCAAGCAAGGTGACCAGTGCCTTAATATTTAAACATAAAGAAAGAAATATAAAAAGTGTAAATTACTTTAATTACTAGGCAAGTATTTTCTTAAATAATGTATTTTGGTTTTTAATCTTTGATTTAACTTGAGTAACAAAATAGGAACGTCATTCATTTGAACTCTAATGTAAGATACCATTTTTCATAGTGCACCATCACATAGATTTTCTTGGTTGTTGATTAGTGCAATAACACACAAACTGTACTTGAAGAGAAATGAACGTTTTGACTTGTATCTTTCTTAATGATTATTTAAGCTACATCTCTGCCTCTGAAATGTGTTTTGGGAGAGCAACATGAACGTCACTGCTTACATTTCTGCATGTGCTTATGCATAAAGTGTTACCTTTTCATGAACAAGCTGGGAAATTGTATGTGTTGCTGCCAGGTTTGTCCTGAGACACCCTTCTCAGATTTGATTAATATTTTCAGTAACAATTTCTTCAAATACACTTCAAATACACTTTCAAAAGAAAACTGATTCTACCATGTATGAAAAATCATCAGGGGAACACTATTGAAGTACCATTCAGTCCTACAAAAAAAGTAGTCTCTTTTCTTTCCTTCCTGTTGCTCCCCCTTCCCAGCAATCTCCCAGTAGCTGAGATAATGTAAAGACATGCTTTGCATCTTTACATTAAGCATGCATAAGAATGTTGAGACTGAGGCTAAGCAGAATGGTAAATATACAGTGAATTATTTGGGAACATGCCCTGTCCCCTGTCATGCTTTTTAAAAAGACAAATCAGTATAGCAGCTGATTTCTTAAAATCAAATAAGATGTTAATGGTGGACACGTATTATTAGTCACAGGTTTTAGTTTGCTGATAGCATTTTGTTCTTGCTACCAAAGCCATAACCTAGACATCCTTGATTCCTCCAGCCCCCTCAAAACGAGATGTCTTTGCCTCTTTTAAAAGAAGCGAGGGACCATTTTTCTCTGCTCTCTTGCAGCACACTGTGTTTGATAGGGAGAAGCCCAGGAGGGGGCCTGCAGTCGCTGCTGGGGCAGAGCAGGGGGCTCTTTGCTTGTGCAGGAATTGCCTTTTCCTCTGTGGGAGTGACACCGGCAGCTCTGGCCCTGCAGAAGGACTGGAGAGCATCAGCTGCAGAGCCACTGATGCCAGTTCTGCCGTACAAGTGCTCTTCAGAGTACTGGGCTGGGCAGCACCGGGCTCTGACTGCAGGTGGAACAGGACTGGGCCTCTAGTACAGTGTTAGTTGCTTGACTTGCATTCTTAAATAAGAAAGTTGATGATCTCACAGCTGTTCCCTCAGCCCCTTGTGGTGGATGTGTGCATGCATCCTGCATAGCTGCAGGACACATTTCTATCTTAGTGTGCTTTCGTTGCGGCTCACTTGTGGTTGTTGCAAAAATCTTTGCATTTCAGTTTTTGCAGTAGTGTTGCATTATTACAGTTAGCTGCATTTAATTTTTGTTTATCAATAAAACTTGTTTGCTTTTATTTTTCTGGAGGTAATATCAGAAGTGCTTGTGCAATCAAGAGATATATCTAATTATACCAGCTTTAAAACCAGACTGTTCTGTTGCTTCAAAACAAGGCATGTCTCACTCAGGGGTAATTATTTTTATAGATACTATAGTTTGGGATTCACAATTGAAATTAACTTTTGCTGATTTAAATTTGCTAGAGGTCTAAAGCAGATGAGAATTAGGATTACCAGGTGCAAACTACATCCAAACACAGAGGATAATCTGACGGCAGATCCTCGGATGTAGGACACTATCCTGATTTCAGGTAGTCTTCAAAGTGTATCAGCTTTTATTAGCCTCAGTTCTGCAAGTTTAGATTTAAAAATTGATTGCAATTCACAGTGCAGAGAGCACATTACAATATTATAAAATTGCTGTTTTAATTTGAAGTGACTTTGACAGATTAGAGGCTTTTTGATAGTGATGACAAATTAAGGTCAAGCTTTTTTGTTAAGGTAAACAATGACAATGAAAAATGGCAATTTCTTTTCCTCAGATCTGTAAAGCAGCATTGTAGAGGGAAACGTGGAATGGTACAAGGACAAACTCAATGTCCAGCTCTTTTTATGCCTTTGACAATGACCCCTGGCAATAATATTGAGTTTCTTGTTTTCTTAAAAAATATTCACAAAATTAATGTAAATTGCTACATACCATGGGAACAAATTAAGCTTTTAATTTCTCTTTTTAGTCATCTTATTTTGGTACTTTTAACTGTCATTGAGGCTTGTGCTTCAGTGACATTTAGGATGTGTCAAGGAGATTTGAGTGATGTCAAACAGCAGATTGACCCTAATGAAATGTTAAGCAGAGCTTAAATGCATATGCAGAGAAGGTTGAATAAAACAAGAGATGCAAATAATTTAGTAAAACCCACTTCAGAATAAAGGCAGCTCTATTCACGTGGTCTGCTGCAAAACAGTCTGATAAATATGATAATTTTTACTTTCACTGCTAAACTAGAGTTTTTAACGAGAGATTATCACGTATGTGTTTCTTGAATATTAATAAAACTCCTTATAAAATAATTTACCTTAAGTCATCTCACCTAAATATCAAGCTGATGTATACATGAGAAATAAGAATAAAAATCCTAAATTTCACTTGTATCACAACAAATAATGATTTTTACAACACTCCGACAATTTCAACCTCTTCTTTTTCTTTATGTTTGCATCTGAACTGGAGCTCTACAAAATCTGCTTCCAAAGTACTGTGAATGAAAGGCATAGAGAAGGAAAGCAGCTTATTTTAATTTAGCATTTTCACCCCGTGCAGGAGCCTGGACACTAGCAGGTACTCACCGAGGCTGCAATACAGGCAGTTAGTGTAATTTTGCTGGAATTACGCTGTATTTACAGACTTCGACACTGGTGGGTGCTAACATTTTATTCCCCTGCATGAGGCGTGCATCCAGTCACTTCTAACAGCGCTGCCGGGGCTGAGCAGCCTCCGCTCCAGCGCCAGCCAAGTCGGGCTTCGGTTTTGTTCCCTTTGGGTTTTAAGCAAAGAGAGAAAAATAGAAGCAAAAATATTTTTCTTTACCTTGCGTGCTGTCTGTTGTGGGGCTTGTGTTCAGCTGTGTCTCAGTCGCAGAACACCTGCCGTTTTCTTCTGCTGCTAATTGTGTGACAGGCTCATATCGCAATATGGCATCCAGATCATGGAAAAACTTCATGGTTTTAGTGACATCCCCAGAGTTGTGGGCATATTTAACCGTTCTGTATTCGTACTTGAGGTTTTTGTACTTTGCACGGCACTGTTTCCAGTCCCTGCACACTCCCAACTCCTGCAACCTTTTAGCAATGTAGATAAATATTCCTTTATTCCTCAGAGTGCCGTGCAGTTGCTTTCTGATATTTTTTTCTGACCAGACGCTTAACAAGGCTTTAACCTCCTCCTCAGTCCAATGCTTCCCTGCTCCACTCTCCATGTTGAAAGTGACCTGGAAATGATTCACTATTTCTAGCCAAGATTTTGTTTCCTAGGAAACCAGACGGCTGGTTGTCCGTAAGCTCCGCCGAGATGAAAGGATCTAGTTTTACTGGCTCAAGCTGCCTGAGGGGAGTAACTTGAGACGCTGCCAAATAAGCAGGCTCGCCGCTGGAGCCGGGCGAGGGAAGCGGCTCCGCTGGCGGGGAGGGGACACCTGGGCCGGGCCGGGCCGGGCCGGGGCTGACTGCTGTGACTCCTCTTCGGGAGTCAGTGGGGGCACCAGGGTGTGAGAAAAGAAGTAAAAAGAGCCTGTTCCGTTCCTTTGAAAAAAACCAAACCCAACAAAACAAAGCAACGTCACACACACACCCCTTGTGGCCTGGGCTCTGCCGGAAGGCCCTGGGCAGCCCCTGCTCCCGAGGGGGCCCGGCCGCGGGACGGAGCCTTCCCCACAGGGTTCGCGTTCGGGATCGTCCTGCCCCACATCTTCACTTCTCTGTGCCCTGTTTGCCTCTGAATGCGGCCCGTAGAGACACGTTTTGCATATCGGTGATGTTTTAATAACAGCTGGCATACTTCAAGTCTGGCTCAGCTGGTAAAGTGGTGCAGGCATTGTGGTAGTGACACTGAGATCCCATGCCTTTTGTCAGTGCTGCGTGAAAGATGTAATCCGACGCCTTGGCCAGGGCCTTCCTTGGGGTCTCTGCTTCTCTCTTCCTAGTGATTTAGTTACTATTTAAAGAGACCATGACAGTATTAAAATGGAAACTTCCTGTAATATTAACATTGCAATTATAAGTTGCTGAATGCAGTGCATCAACCCTTAAATCTTACTAACAGTCTTCGTGTTTATAGATAGAACATCTTCCCGAGTTAAAGTAAATGGCTTTAAGAACATCCTCATCTCTGATTATTTTCTTTAGAGAACTGTGTCACTAACAGGGTAAATTTGTTCAGATGTGTGGGAAGTTTGGTTTGTTTTGCTTTCTGTAAGCAAGCATTCTTCAAAATTTTTGCTTTACATCCAACTGGGATTAGTAACAAATAAAGGGATTTTATGAACTGGAGAAAATTGATAATGAGCATGTCAGTTGGAGATTATCATACATTCTATTGATTTTTGTGCCCAATTCTATTGTTGCTTGTAATAACTAATTCCATTTACTTCAACTGAGTTAAGTCCAGTGCACAAATAGGTCATTAATTGTCTTTCCCTTTTTAAGAAAAATATCTCTCCTGTTCAGACATTATTATATATGAGAGTGGGCAGGAGCTCACCCATCCACCAAAGTCCTGATGAGTATTACAGGCACAGGCAGGCACATAGCAGCAGTTTTGTTGTAGGCAACACTGCCTTATTTCAGGAAGTCTTTTAAAGGGAGATGGAGCAGCCTGCACTCTTATTCACAAAAAAAAAAAAAATGCAGTCTGCAAAGCAGACCTTTTCAATGGATAAGGACTGGATTACCAACTGTGGGCAAGTGTACAGTGTTCTGCCTGCCTTGGGCAGGGCAGCATCAGGGGACCCAGCAGGGGGAAGGGCTGGGGAAGACAGACAGCAGGACAGGGAAAACACATGTATTTCAGCTGAATCAGCTCTTCTGCTCAACAAAGCACAACTGCCAGCCCGAGGCTGATGTACTTAAGAGAAGTATTTCCATTTGCAGTGACACTTGAACATCAGACTTGTTTTGCGTGACTTCAGAAGCTGAGATGCCCAACATTAGGTTTATGCACTCAGATGCTTTCATCGGAGGGTCTGTGTTGCTTTTAGAGGTGTAAATGCCAGCTTGTCTGCCTAAATGCAAAAATGCAAAAGCTTCTGCACAGGTGATCAGTGGAAAAGACAATCCATTCCCCTAAGCAACACCATCAGTTTTTAATAACATCTGACAATCCAAAGCGGAAATAGAATAGCATTATAGGACCTAGTACTATTGCCTAGACCATTATGCCTCTGAAAATGGCTTTTCCAATTAAACATCTGTTTTTACTTTATGCCTGTACTGAAATTAAAGTCCATTAAGAGCTTGAGCCACTACGTATTGGTGGGAAGATTCCCACTGAATTTAGTGGACTTAGGCACAAACCTTATGTAACTGTCTTGAAATAAAGCATGGCAAGAAACCTGCAATTAACACAGCAATTATAAGTCTGGAAAATAAAACAACAAACAACAAATTAAAATGCCATTAAAAAATCTATCCATTGCATGTTAAAGTGTTTCATAATCATGTCAGTGCTTTATGTGAATTTTATTTTGTCCATAGAGGCCAGGAGAGCGCTGGAATTGTGACAAGTGATGGCGAATCATCCCAGGCATTCAAAGTGCACAAGGTAAAATGCAAATAAATGTTTTGTATTCTTAACTGAGATGAATGTAAGTTAGTTTCTGGTAAGAAACAGTGTAGTTAGAGGAAAAAGTAACGTGCTTGATGGGCTGTTTTGATTTTGTCAGAGTATCTCGTTTTGTTACCTGTCTTGAGAGTATCCTTAAAACAAACTTGCCAATGTTGTCCTGATAGGTGTTTCTGTGCATACAGTGACAGACACACAGAAGTTACCTAGAGCATGCCAATGATGTCTCAAAAACTTTTTACCAAAGTCACTCTGCACTCTGTTAACTCTGCAGATTTGGAAGAGCATTGATGCTCTTCTTGATCTTAAAAAGAAAAAAAGTACTGTTACAGACTGCACAAGGAGATGGATGAGTAAATCTTACACTAGTGAGACTAAAGGAAGTGGCAACTACTTTACCCATAGGTAGCAATAAACAGAATCTAAGACAGAATGGAGGCCTGAGAAGGTCACAGGACTTTCTCGAGCTGAGAGAATCACGGGGGATGTTACAAGACACATAATGAGCACAGCCTTAAAAGTATCTATTTTTAGTCAGGGAATAGATTGTTCCGTGAAAATCCTCAGCACAAAAATGTAGTTTGCTTTATTTAAAAACAGGACTAAAGGGAAGTGACATAGCACTGTGACCTACTCAGCTTCTTTCTTTCCCATATCTTTCAGGTTATTTGCCTTTTTCTTAAAGTTCCATTAATACTACTATATCAGCTTTAAGCAGAAGAAGAACTTATGAAGTCACCAGGAAAATAAAACCAACAGAACAGTTTTTTTCTTTTTTTTTCTCCAAAGGGAATGGGCCTTATAAACCACGTCTTCAGTGCAGACAGCCTGAAGAAGCTGTACCCTTCAAACCTTGGTATTGGGCACACGAGGTACTCCACCTCAGGAATTTCTGAGCTTCAGAACTGCCAGCCTTTTGTTGTAGAGACTCTTCATGGGAAGATTGCTGTGGCACACAATGGGGAGCTAACAAATGCTGTACAGCTCAGAAGGAAGGTTGGTACCTCCTTTGGGGGCTCAGGCATTGTTTCTTTCTGAGTGTGAGGCAGAAATGAGCAATACGGTTGCTGTGACTTTTCCTTAATACCAAACTTTTTTTTTGGTTTTTTTTTGGGTTATAAAAGAGCTCACTAATCAAAATAAATAATTTTGGGGGAAAAAAAGCCTGTGAAGGGGATTCTGCCTTGATATCTCTTTCTGGATCTGTTATAGGCAATTTCATATTTTCTCCTCTCTAACTCTCTTCCCAGAGCATGCATAAAGCTAATTTAATCATCCAAACATGAATTTATGCCCTGATTATTGATGGCATTATTCTGGTTGCATGTGGAGCAAAGGAATGAGATGAAGAAGGAAAAATGTAGTGCTAGCATAGAAGATTGTCTGACCTCATGTAATATAGTTGGTTTTTTGGAAGAAACTTCCATTATTATGCTGTGATCACCTGAAGCACTGTGAAACGTTTGTGCTTTGCACCAAGGTGTTGTTAGGTTCAAACCTGAGCGCTGTGATGTGAGATTGTTTTTTAATGCTGGTAACACTTTTGGCTTGTGTCTTAAAAGCTTATGCGGCACGGTGTGGGACTGTCGACCAGTTCTGACAGCGAGCTGATCACCCAGCTGCTGGCTTTCACACCTCCCCTGGAGAACGATGACACGGCCGACTGGGTGGCAAGGTGAGGGTGAGGAGCCTGGGCTTCACACACAGCCCCAGCCATTGCACCTCAGCGTGATGTGCAGCTGTAAATGCTCACAGCTGCTCGTGTGGCACACAGTCATGTTCACCTGTGTCTCATTCCAGAATAAAAAACTTAATGAAGGAAACTCCAACTTCGTATTCATTGCTAATTATGCACAAAGACATAATCTATGCAGTACGTGATCCGTATGGGAATCGCCCGCTCTGCATTGGTCGCCTTATTCCAGTAGGGGACATGAATGGGAAAGGTAAACTCTCTCTCTCTCTCTCTCTCCATATGCATAGTGTATGCTTGAAATCACTGTTATAGGTAATTAAAACTACACTTACTGAGGTGTAAGTAGAAATATGTGATGCAAAAATGAGTTTTGAAAAATAAAAAGAGTTGGCAGGGAAAAGCATCATCTATAGGAAGTGTGCAAAATTCCAGTCCCAGATACAGGGAATCTTAGTGGCCTAATGATAGCCACAGTTAAGCATCCCAACTGTAATACAATTTAAATAATTCTCATTGCTTACACAAGAAAGCAGTGATGAACAGAATCACAGAGGGGCTGAGGTTGGAAGGGAGCTCTGAAGGTTGTTAGTCCAAATCCCTTCTCAAGCCAGGCCACTTAAAACCAGTTGCTCAGGACAAGATCTAGAAACAAGTCTGGTTTCTTCCTTTTTGTTCGTATAGCAAGGTGGGCAAAAGTGCTGGATTACTTGCAATGTACCTCTGAATTCCAAGCAGCCCTGTCACATGTAGTGACTGGACCATTACACAAGCAGTTTATGGGAAAAATTCCTTGTGTTCCTGTTCTGTCTGCAAATCAACAATTTTCTCCCCTTGTCGCTTATATCATCAAAATATCTTCACTTGTCACTTATATCAACAAAATATCTTCACTTGTTGCAAACTAAAATAATTCAAAGGCAAAGCAGTGAATTCTTCCATATCTTCAGAAAACTGAGTAATTTTAACCACAAGAAAAATTACCCAGATTTTTTAAAGCATATAGACATTCCTACCCTATGTGACACAATTAGATCTTTC